GCCAACGGTTTTGGCTTTCGAGCGAGGTATGACAAGCCCCATAAATATTGTAATTGTCGTTGTCAGCAGGCCGACAAACGTAAAAGTAGCAAACATTGGTACGGTTTTGTGGGCCACTGTAAAAGGATATACTTCTTTAAAAGATGATCCTTTTCACGGTAAAAGCAGTAACATAACCCAGATCATGAAATGAACAATAAGATCAGTGTCAGGAACGAATTAAAAGTTTTCTTTATGAATTCAGGAACTGTTAGTCAATTACATCCTCAGTAATTATAATCCACGCTTAGAATAGTGGCTTACCAGCCATTTGATAGCAACTATAAATAGTAGATCCTTTATTTAATTGTATGTTCCTTCTGTCTTTATCTCAGAATAGAGATTAGTCTCAAAGAGTACTTCTTTTGTCTTTGACTTGTGTCTTATAAACCATTACATAACATTTTACTCTTTGATTCAAATCTTTATGTCTACTCAAGAAGGAACAGATCCCTCTGCTACCTCTGCTGAAGATGTTGCCTCTCCTAGCATCTCATCGCAAGCATCTTTTTTGTCAAGCCCTCAAGGCTCATTGGCAAGCAAGTTTGCTACCCATCCCACTCCTATGGAACAAGATGCTCCTTTGGGTACGTCCTCTACTGATTCCTCTAATAATGTTGATTCCATGGAGGTTCAGGCATCACTAAAAGAAAAAGCCAGACTGTTGTTTGCAAAATATATTACCTCCAGTCAAGTCGATCCTGGTTCCGCTTGTCGTATTTGACCATGCCTAATACTAATCTTTACGTGTGAGATTACATTTGACTTAATTACATGTACCTTAGTTAGTACTCCAACCTCTTTTAAAACAACCTAATTTCTTTTTGCTATGAGCTCCCTCTCTCACTTCTAATAAAAGGATAAAACAGAGACTCATCACTTCTTTGCTTTTACAGTGACTCAAAAAATTGCTCACATGTTTGTGTGTTTTCACTTTAACGAACCATCAAGGAACACAAGTTACTTATACATCTGGCATGTTGTATATCAAATGAAAGCGTAGGTCATTGGCTA